TACTATACTCATCACTTGATTTGTCATCCTTACGTTTATCTTTATGTTTCTTCTTCTCCTTTTTACGTTTTGATTTTGATTTGGAACTCGAATGATGTTCTCCATCCACTTCTGCATGTTTATCCTTTTCTGAATGTTTACGTTTACTTTTCTTATGTTTTGATGTTTTTGGTTCTTCTGCTCCATCCACTTTAACTTCACCTTTCCCCGATTTCTTTTTCTTTTTCTTCTTTTTAGCTTTTTTGGCCTTCTTACTTTTTTCCTTGTCTTTGACAGGTTGTTCACTCTCACTAACATCTTTTTCAATGGTTAAAACAGATTTCTCCCCTTCTTTGGGTTGTGTGACATCATTCTGAACTGTCTCTTCAGTTGTAGATTTGTTTTGTTGTACTTCTTTCACCTCATCTGTATCAACAACTTTCTTTGGTTCAGAATCCTCTTCCTTGGTCTTAGTTTCCTCCTTTTGTACATTTTGCTCAGATTCCACTTTAGAACTTGGTGCCAGTTTTTTGAATTCAAAATACAGTGGGTTACAACTATATGCTAATGAAGGCTCTGTCTTGGTGTGATGTATCATTTCAATTGGCCACTGTAGTGATGTCTGCTCATCTCGACTCAGCACAGAAACAAACATACTTGATATAACAGTGTCTGAATAAGAGTTTTTGGATTTGGAATTATTTGTACAATCAGCTTTATCCTCATTTTTAATTGTAGGATTTTCTTCATTGTTCACGACTACCCCTTCAACTTCTAGTTTGTTGTCATCTTTTGCACTTGGATTCGTACGATTCTTTTTTTTTTCTTCACTAGTCTCAACTGGTCCTTCAACTTTTGCATTTGCAGGATTTGTGATCTTTTCTTTTGTTTCTATTTTGTCTTTAACTTTCAAGCTTGGATTTGTACGATTCCCCTTCTTTTCTTCATTAACTTTTGCACTTGTATTTGTATGACTTCCTTTCTTTTCTTCATTAACTTTTGCACTCGTATTTGTATGACTTCCTTTCTTTTCTTCAATAACTTTTGCACTCGTATTTGTACGATTCCCCTTCTTTTCTTCATTAACTTTTGCACTCGTATTTGTATGACTTTTCTTTTCTTCACTGGTTTCAACTGCTCCTTTAACTTTCACATTTGTATGATTTCTTTTTCTTTCCAGTTTGTCTTTATCCTTTGCACATGGAATTGTTCGATCTCCTTTCTTCTCTTCATTAACTTTTGCACTTGTATTTGCAGGACTTCCTTTCTTTTCTTCACTGATCTCAACTGGCATTTTAACATTCGTAGGATTTCTTTTTCTGTCTAGTTTGTTTTTATCCTTTACAATTGGATGTGCACGACTTCCTTTCTTTTCTTCACTTGTCTCAACTATTCTTTTAACTTTCACATTTGTAGCATTTGTTTCCTTTTCTTGTTTTTCTTTATCTTTTGCACTTTGATTTGAAGGATTTCCTTTCTTTTCTTCACTAATCTCAACTATTCCTTTATCTTTTGCACTTGTATTTTTACGATTCAATTTTTTTTCATCACTGGTCTCAACAATTCCTTTAACTTTTGCACTGGTTTTCTTTTCTTCACTGGTCTCAGCTTTAACTTCAGGACCATTATCTTTCTTTAAAATCACACTATCAACTTTTTTATTGCTACTTTTTCTTTTTGACTCTTTGTGACTCTTCTCAGATTTCTCCAAACGTTGTTTATTACCAGTTTTCTCAGGTGTTGGGCTTTTTTCAAGGGTATCACATGAATTAATTTTCTCATTCGACTTCTCAGAACTTTGTAAATCTGCATTAGATGAAGACGGCATAGAATTTGGATGGTTTTCACAATGTTTGTTGTTCAGACAGACACTTTCAGATGATTTATCGTTGACAGGAATGTGATCATCTTTATATTTCACAAAAACCAAGAAAGGCAATTTTGGTTTGACCTTGAAATGTTCAAGAGGTGTACGTGAATACACTTCTCCATCATGAGTCTTTTCAACATTAACTTCATCCTTCCTTGTTTTATTCTCAATCACTGTCACTGGGATGTCGTCATCTGAATTATTATTCACATTCTCTATAGCTTCTTTGATTTCACCAGGTTGGTGTCTCAATGGAGACTTTGCAGGCAGTTTGTTACTAGATTTCTTGGCAATACTGAATGACACTAAGCCTTTATTCTGACCATCCTCATCTAGGTCTTGAGTGGCTTTCACAGGTGATTCTTTGATGTCATCAGTAGTGCTTTGTGATGGGACTGAATCTGGTTCTGAAATTTCTTCTGAGCTGACTGCAGGAGGTACACTTGCTGGTTCCTCACCATCTTTGGTAGCCACTCTTGAAACTAGTTTTAAATTTGTTTCCCTGTCCCATTTCATCATTCCTGTTAACAAAGAGAATTTGGACATTAGGAATCAAACATGGAATTGAGATGTACTATAAAAATCAGCCTGACAATTTTAAATTTTAATTTTGAACAGCCAAAAATAAATATGAGGTGGTCAGAAATAGCCCAAATGATAAAAGAAAAGAATTTTGTTTTGTTTTTTGGACACTTCAAACATCAACCCAAAATTGAAATTATACAACAAAAATCCAAAACAATATAAATGGCCAGTTTGATGGTGGTCAGAAAAATGTTTTTTTTTCTCAAGAAATGGGGTACAGGAATCAAGCGGATGAACCAAAGGAATGTACCAGTATATCCAATGGAGCTGTTATGTTAATACATAGGAGTTAGGATAAGATGAGCACCTTTAATGCTGAGTTTGAGTAAATGTCTTGGGAACAGATTCAAAGCTATGATGTAGTCAATGTGTATGTGCAATGTGCTAGTAAAGATGGTGTAGTCTTGGTGCACACTCATTCTTGTGTTCAGTCAGTGCTAATGCTAGGTATATGGTAAAGGTTTTTGAGAACAGATTCTACACTATGTGTTCAATGTTGGGGAGATATGGAGTATACTCCATTTAAACTGCAGAGTGTATATTTGGCCGGAACCAAATTCATTCATAGTTTGCCTGACAGTAAGATGCCTACCTGGTACCTGCTGCTTGTGCTCTGAGATCTGCAAGTTCATGAAGGCGTTTTAGTTCTTTCTCTCTCTTCTTTTCTTCCTTCTTCCACTTAGAACTTACTGTCCGTCCAAATTCACGCTGTTTAAGTTCTTTTAAACGCTGCAATTCAGCAGAACAATTCAATGTTTGATAAAGAGCATGACTACATAAACTTTTATAAGCACTGCATATTTTATGCAAATAACTTCTCCATTATAGTATTTGTCATCATCCAAAAATACCTCTTGTGATACTCAGTGATTTTTATGTAAAATCTGTATGAGAAGCCACATCCCCTAATAGAAGTCACACCAATTCCATTTGAATAATTAAGAACAAAAAAATTCATCATTTCTCATGTGTGTGGATGCTCTAATAGAAGCCGCGGATTTTAATACAGATTTTACAGTAATACACAATGTTTGTTGGTAACATGTTTCAAATAAAAACACAAAACAATCAACAGTAATGCAATCCAGTCATATTGTTTCACAGGTGAATATTATGTTTGTGAGGTGTTACAAAAATGGATTAAAAAATTCAACTTAGTTTTATCATAAGTGAATGTTATCAGCACACAAACATGTGCTGCAAAATGATATCAGCCATGTTTTTTTCATGCACAAGTTGACATTAAAAATACTTCCTTTAAAGTTATAGCCAAAAGTATTAATAATTTCCACCAAATATCGGCAATTGTGAATACCATAAAAACTCGATTAATTCGCGGTCTCTATCAGTTCGTTCGCGTACCCATTTTATTTTTGAACGCTAATTTTTAAATGTATCCTTTTAATTCGCAGCATTCAAAAACATGTTTAAAATTGTGTCCTATTAATTCGCGGGCCAGAATAAAGTGGATAACTCAGAATATATTGCATGAAGACATTAAAAATATACATATAATTTTATGTTATCAGTACTTGGTGTCGCCGCAATCGCAGATGATCTCCGTCATCACAGCCTTTCAGTTAGCAAGCAGTTTACGTTCGGTAAAGATTTGACGTGAAAAAAAATCATTCCCCCACGACACTACAGATGTTGGGCAAGATTATTACTTGGTCGATAAATATCCATCGGTCAGCACATCGATTACGAATAGCTATCATGTTGCAAGCTCTGCTTTGTATGCAAATCAACTTAAATAGTTAGTTGTGTCCAGTGGAGAGAGAAGTCAACAGTACTGTTGCCTCCTGAGAATCTACATCTTCAAACACTGCAATCTTCGAAGTGCGTTTTTAAACTAGTATTATGAAAACTCTATCATTCTGTTCTAATAGCTGAAACATATTCCTGCGAGTTTTCATTTGTCGAATGAACTGTTTGTCAAATACAGAATACATATATTTTAGAACAATTTTCTTTTTAAAATGTGGATGAAATGTTTTGCTTTTTATGTATTTTTTATGTATTGTTTTTGATTTTATAACTTTGAACTAAACATATTTTCTATTAGCTTCAGATCTTGATCAAAGTTTGGCATCCAGTTCATAGGAGTGCTTATATTGATTTTCTGACATCTTGTTTTCTGTAAAGATTTTATTGGTAGGTTTGCAAATGTGTATCAGACTGTGCAATCTCTCCATGAGTTGGTTTTGAAACCCAGTATGAAATTCTGGGATACATTACCAAGGATATTATTACAAGATATATCATTTGCTTCATTGAACACATACAACAATGCATATTTCCACTGAGATCAGTGACCTTTGATGTGTATCACCAGTGATCAGTCAAAATATTTTATCAGATTTTCTCAATTTTTGCATGATATTTTCATACAGGACATCTGTTGTTCAAACTCAGGGAAGACATTATACTGATAAATAAGGTGACCAAGTTTGATGAAGTTTGGAATAGAATTAGTAAAGTTATTATTGCACACAATAACAATTATTAACGACAACGACAACAACTACAACGACAACGCCGAACAAAATCTTTCCCTTAATATACTTTTCCCCTTCCATCTTTGATGGTACGGGCAAGGTAATAAAAAAAGGCAGTGCAGCTAGATGGCTACTTTGTAGCCACGTGTTCATTGTTTGTTTGTGTACCGAGTGACCTTTGCCATTTCACCGTTTCATTTCAAGTGTAACATGGTGCATGGTCCTTGACGCAGTGCGTGTTCTCTGCCCGACTATACGCCATGAATGTCGCTAGCCACGAATCTCAGAGGCAGTAAAAAAACGTCCTGTAATCGTGTTCATTGGAAAACAAAACAAATCACTAATAAATTTATGAAAACAGCTCCTTTTTGAATTGATCAAAAAGTACTCTTGATTCGCGCACCAAAAACCAATAATTTCCGTTTTGACGCTATTAATTCGTGCACTTGAAAAAATAATTATTTTTACTACCGCGAATTAATCGAGTTTTTTAACGGTACTACATGGCAGCGATTTATTGATATTGTGAAAAAGTTAAGTTTTGAAAATATATTGAGCAAGTATTTCACACTTTTCATGGTGATAACAGCTCACTTTTCAAAACAGTTCACTCATTCACGTTCATCAGGAAAAATTTAAATGTTCCAAAAATGATGGCAAAATGACAATACTTAAGGTTACATGTTCTGAGATTAAGATTAATGTGTTTAAAGAATATCTAGTATTTGTCTTACACTCAAATATATGATCATTAAAATTTACAAAATGATACTCAATTAATATGATCCGACAGTCTGGATTCAGTCAGCGTTTAGAAAGCTTAATCACATGATAATTAATGATCAGTGACAAATTTAATTGTTCTACATCATATTTGTTTTCTGGTTTTGTTAGTATATATAATTATAAGTTGTCTCTCAAAATAAAGAAATAAACTAAGGTGATATGTAGATGAATATCCAATAAATGTGGTGATCAATCTGAATAGCGCCCCCCCCCCCAATAAGCATGTCTGGATTAAGCATTGTTTAGGTTCTTTTAGACAATGATACTGACATAAAGAAATATTCTGAAATATTTTTTTTTTTTAAATCAGTATATCTATAGTATGGCCTTCATTTTCAGTTGATTACAAGGTTTTGTACAGGAAGCTTCGTCACACACCTACATCACTATCCCCAAACATTGCCAACACTAATCACAAGATCACATATTTTAAGGCTCTTTTCACCAACAGACTTTCTCGCTCAAATTTTTCTGCACTTTTTTCTTGTATTCTTCAATATTTCTGGAAATAAACCCTAATTTTGGAGCCAACATACAAAATTTTGGTCAATTTTCAGCTTTACTCAAACAATTTTGCTATTTTTATCCAATCTTCTGATGAATAGTGCAGATTATAAACTGACTTGTGAATTTGTGATAAAAAGAGGGAACTGGTGGTGAAACTGGCAGTTTACCCCATACCAATGTTTCTAGTTCAATGTACTCACCTGTTTATGTGCATGATCGTAGGAATTGATATGATTATCAAACTCTGTGTGTTTATAATATTGCTTGTCACAAAGATCACAATAAAAATTGGCCTTAAGGTCTGCTAGCGCTTCATCAATAGCTTTCTCTCGTTCCACATTGTCCTGTCAAAGTACAATAGATAGAACATGGCTCACAAATGGTAGTTTAATATACACCACGGAAAAGCTAACTTGGTTTTGCTTTTAATGAAAACACCATAAATGTATACCTGCAATTAAAAGACAATGCGACCATATGGCAACCATGGCTACTTGTTCTCATTAATTTTCCATCACAGTAAGTAAAAGGCCATAAAATACACATAAAACAGTTAAAGGAGCTGGAAAAAGCATTAATGAATATTGAATTAATTAAGCCTTCTTGTAACACATTGCTGAAGAGAATTATACTGCTTATTTTGAAACTGAAACAAGCCTTGACTGAACAATAACAGCTATACCAATACTAAAACTTTGGACAAAGCTACAAAGGGAACTTCTTTATCAATCAATCAATCAATCCATAAGTAACATAACATGCAGATGTTATTATACACTGCACATACTAAAACATACACTACTTGTGTATTACCCCAAATTGTAATTATAGTCACACCTGCGTAACACCCACCTCTATATATAGACCACCGTCCCATTGCATAATGCACAAAACCAAAATGTTTAATCTTTATTTGGTCAAGTCAATGTAAAAATAAATGATTAGAGACCCAAATAATATTACCATTCTGATTATAAACAATATTTAATTTTCTCAGGTCAAACTTTCTTTGATTTTGAACAACTCAAATTGAAACATGTTTTTGGTACAACAATACCATCTAATTATTTACAGGACAAATACAAAATGTACGTCTATGAAGATAATTTTAAAGAAATTCCTTTGGTGGCCGCTATACACATGTTTGATTTTTCAGTTTCATACATTTCAGCATACTAGTATT